GCTTGCTTAATATTTTTCGCCGGGCTTGGGGGGCCGACCCAGAATATCCACAGACACATACATTTCGTACAAGATCTCCTTCAGGACACAAGGAATGCACGCCTTCCAAATCACTGGATCCCGGGATCCCCGAAGCGCTAAGCCTGGACTGGGCCCACGGATCCTTCTTCAAACGACACACGCGCGCACACAAAAAAAGGCTTGGGCACAAAAAGGTCTCTATAGCAGATGTGTGTATGCATGTGTCTCCCGACACGCTGCCACTTTCCATGCCCAAGGCAAAGAGCCAGGAGATTCCGAACCGTACACTTCAACGTAGCTTCACCTAGCTTAGTCAAATCTCAGCCTCAATGTACCGGGTCTGCTTGCTCTGCGGGCTCTCCTTGCTCCTGACGCTGAGAGCCCATGATGAGTCTTCCGGATGCGACCTACAGCTGCTTCAGCAAAGGATTCATTTGACAGGCCGTTGTGCAAACTTGCTGGGTTGAACCATATCGTACTTGTATCTCCTTTGTGCAAACACACAGTTTTCTTTTATTCCACCGCAGAGCCTTGCAGTTGGCAGGTCCAGCTACAGGGCCAGAAGAACGCTTGGCAGCTGCAGAGCCTTTGCATTGGCACCTGGCCTTTTATGAGCATTCGGGGTCTATAGAGTTGGTGGTGTTTTGGGTTTTCAGACCTGCCGTCTTGGATGGATTGCTGCTTCTGTTTTCTGTTAGATTAGGTTCCATTGTCCGAAATGTGGGAGCACATTCATTAACAGCTTGGTCAACCTTCCCGGAGTGTGCCCAGATCTGGAGCTGCGAAAAGTCGGCGTGCAATCTCTTGGCAACTGCTGGCTGATGAGGTTTCTTGCTGATTTCTGTCCCAGGTGTTCAGACAAGCTGGCATGCGACTCTGTAGACGATCCGCATCAGGCCATTGGCAACTACACTGCCAGTAAAGGGAAACTGATGGGTTTCTTCCGCGATCCCGATCAGCGGATTCTTTCTGGCTATCACCGCCTCGTGAACACCTTCACTGAGGGCTGCTTCAACTGGAACGAGGCGCCCGACTGTGCTTCAGGTGTCCAATCATGGATGGCCATCCAGCGTGGGCCGCGGCAGCCCATTCTGGAGTTTGCAGACCTGTGGAAAGGTGGCATGACATTCCAGCTCACAGCAGCAACTGGGTCTCCTCTTGACGTCATTCGGCCGAGGGTGACCCTGGATGATGCCAGGGAAGCTGCTCGCCGAGTAAAAGAAGGTTTCGCTTTCGTGGGAATCACTGAGGAATGGGACTTGTCTATCTGTCTCTTCCACAAAATGTTTGGGGGCCGCTGCCAGGCGATTGAGTTCGAAGACACTCGGCCATCCTTTTCCGGCAAGACATCTGACACAGAATACAACACCTCGGAGCTAATGGGCTTTCACGATGACATTGATGCGGTTGTGTATGATGCAGCGCTTCAAGTTTTCAAAGCACATCTCATTGCCTACAACGTCACGTATGAGTCGTGTCGTTCGAGCTGTGTTCCCACGTACTGAGCTGAAGCAGCTGAAGCACACCCCTTCCAGCTCCAGCGCAATAGCATGACGCGTGCCACCTAATTTTGCACAGATAGTGTGTTCTGGACGCATGGATGCTGCTATAGTGCTAGAGCTGCTGTGGTGTGGTTTTTTAGAACCCTTATGTGAATGCCCGACCTTAGATGACTTACTTCACATTAGGACCCTGCAGCATTCGTGCGGTTCCGAATTCAGTGCCTCCTGTAGCACACCGTACCAATTTGTGCGCAGAAGCACTGATTCTCATGCAGCATACCTGGCTGCGGCATCTCATGCGTTGCGCTGCAGTGTTAAAATGTTAGAGAGTAGAATCATTCTGTAAAGCATGGTTTACTCCACCTTGGTCCTTGAACCCGTAGTATCTTTTTGATCCTCAGCTAACGAAAAGTCCCTGTCCCTTAATCTTGGAAATGTTCCGCCGCAGCCGTGCTCTGGCTCTCAATCAGAGCCTGACGGGCCTTGTTGTTTGCACGCTCCCTTCCATGTGCGCCCAGTGTGGTCGGGGTACGAGTCAGGGTGTGCGGTTTGGAGTTGAGGCTTCATTTTGTAGGCTACTGCTCAGGCTTCAGTTGCATGCTTGAAGCATGCAGCATGTCCAGCATTCACGTAGCTTTTCCTGCCATCTCCCACAGACAGTGCCCCACAGCACTTGCAGTTCTACGCGATGGTATCCACTCCCAGATTAGGAGGATGCCAAGCACGAGTCGCAACCCGACTTAGAGTTGGAGCCAGCCTTTCTCCATGTTTCGTTTTCAGGCCGACCTATCGCAGCCTAATTGAATTGCTACTCAAGCCTCCGCGGCAATGGGGCCTAAATCCGTCCACAGCCCTTCGCAACCACAGGTGCGATAAGGACTGTAGTATTTGGGGGTGCGTATTGGGGTCTCCCTGTTTATGGAAACTCGGAGGCAGGGGGGCGCTCCAAAAAATCATCCAATCTATTCAAATTGTGGCAGTTACCATGAAGCAGATTCCAACACTGAATTCAAAGCTTCTACCGTCCATGGCGGCTTCACAGATTGCCCCCTTCTTGTGCCGGCATATGGCGAGATTTTGAAAGTAAAAACGCTTAGTCATGTGTGTATACTTTGGAATGGGCGTGCTGTCTCGCGAGACGTGATGTGGAGACGAGCATGGCTTTGTGATCCTGCAATATTTGCGCGCTATTGATCTTGAAGCTGGATGCATTGCAGTATTTCTGAACGTGTGTTTGCAAATAAACCTGTTAAGGTACATCTTCAACACCCAGCGAATTTGGTGAGGAAAGAACTTTCTCTAAATCTGCGCTCGTAATTTCTCGTAAGCATAAGTTCTCATGGTTATGATTGTGGTGAGAGAAAATACGTGTTTTCGACTGGCCAGTCTGATGCTAGCTACGAGCCTTTGGCGTGCTGCAGAAATCCAGTACGAAGAGTTCACTGCGATGGTTGCTTTTTCGGCTCAAAGAGCCATTTGCAAAAATTTGCACAGAGTTATCTTTCCCGATTGCTACCGTTCCGGCTTCGTGCCGAAACATGACGATTATGGCTTGGATGTCCCTAAGCCTTGCCTTTGTGGGCCCGATCCCAGGCTGCCCTTAAAGGGTGTTGGGGGTAAGAGTAAGGTTCTAATTGGATGGCCCATGGTTGTTGCTTTCTGGCACCTTCCACATCTAATTGCAGAGTGCTGCCTCGTGTTGCATTTTTGAGTTTCAGGGAGTGTAAGGCGAAAGTAGTTGTCGTGTTGCATTTTGGAGTTTCGAGGGGGTGTAAGGCGAAAGTGGTTCTGAAAATCGCAGGATCAGGGATTTTCGGTTTGAATTTGGGATTGGGGAGCCATGGTGTTATTGCAGCATGAACGGGTTTAGGCTGTTAAGACAATGACCGTATGAAAGT